TTGTTATAATTGTTCCCCGTTAATTATTACATCCAACCCATTTTAAATTAATGTTAATGGGAAATTTAATTTTTTTTTTTTTTGGAGACGGCATGAACATTAATAACGACCAATTAACGAAACGATAACGACCAATTTCATAATAGATGAAATTACTACATTTAACTAGGTTTAACAAGATTTAACAAAATTCGACAGAGTTTAACATGGAAATAGCAAGAAAGGAATATATTCTGGTGGAAAAGGAGTAAGGTAGAATAAGAGTAGAAAGAGAAGGAGGTAAGACATGAAATGAAAGAGGGAGGAGGGGGGGGGAGGAGGAAGGAGGGGCGGAAGGGGGAGAGGCCCTACGCGACGCCACCTTTTTATAACATTTTTCTTTATTGCTTCGTCTGCGGTTCTGTCTCGCCTCCCCCCTCCCTCTCCTCCAGTTCCCTGTTCCTCTCTCACTTCCCCTGCTCCTCTGCCACCTGTCCTTCCCTCCCTCTCCCCACTGCCTTCTTTCTCCTCCCCTATCACCCTTTCCCTCCCTTCTATTCCCCTTTTCCCCTTTTCCTCCCTTCTCTTCCCCTCCTACCTCCCTCCCCCTCCCCCCTTTCTTCCTGGCGCCGCTGTGACGCCGACACGGATGAATGGGGGGAAGGGGGGGGCTGCCAGAGGGGTGGGAATTTTATATTAAGAGAGAAAGAAGGAAGGGTAGAGATAGATACAAGTGATAGATAGGGGGAATAGTAAGAAGAGAAAAGAATTGATCGAAAGGTGAACGGAGGGAAGTAAATAGAAAATAGACAATGAGAAGAACCTATACCCCCCTCCCCTCACCCCCCCCATCCCACCCCCACCCTACCCGTAGCCCCTAAACCTTGCAATCTTTAGGGCTATAAAGATTTCCATATAAGGCATTAGTGCCCCGGGCAGCGGTGGTCACGTGTCTGTACACTGAAGGGGAGGAATGTGGGAGATGGGGAAATGAGGGAGAAAGAAGATAAGGAAATGGGGAAGGTTGAAAAGGGGGAATAATAGAAAATGGAGAAGGGAAAATGAGAGGGAGGAGAGAGAAGAGGAAGCGAGGGACAGAGGAAAAGTGAAATGTGGTAGTGAGCGTTGGGGAAATGGGGTGGAAAGAGAAAGAGAAATGGTGAATGAGGCAAAAGGGGAACTGAGAGAGGAGAGGAGAGGTAACACCCTGTTGTTATTGCATAGGAAGAGGGGGGGGGGAGATTTATAATGGGGAGGGTATATATGGTTTATAGGGAGGGGGGTGGGGTTGTAGGGGGGGCAGTCACGTTGTTGATCTGGCAAGTTGCACTGTTGCTTAGGGAAGAGGTTATATATATGGGGTTTTATGCGTATGGGTGTGAAGAAGAAAAGGGGGTAGGGGTAGGGGAAGGAGGAGGGGGGGGCTAGTGCAGACGACCCTCTACACGTGAGACAAAGAGGGGGGGGGAGTGGGTTTCGGTGCAGTAGACCCTCTTGCACGTGAGAAGATGTGGGTGGTGGGGTGGAGGGGGGGTGGGGGTTGGTGCAAACGACCTACCACACGTGAGATGGAGGGGATGTAGAGGAGATGAGAAAAGGGGTGTTGCGAATAGGAAAGGGGTGTGGGGGGGGGGATTATCGTCGAGAGGGAGGTGTGTGTGTGTGTGTCTGTGTAAGTGTGAGTGTGTGTGTGTTTGTGTGTGTGTGTGTGTGTGTATGTATGTGTGTGTTTGTGTGTGTCTGTGTGAGTGTGTGTGTCTGTGTGAGCGTGTGTATGTGTGTGTGTGTGTTTGTGTGTGTCTGTGTGAGCGTGTGTGGGGGGGGCGATTAACTTTTGTTTTTAATACGGGGAATCGATTGTCAGGAGATGGAATTTAGAGAAACTTTAATGGGGGGGGAGAGAGGCGAGAGTAAAGATGAGAGATATGTATTAAGATGTCCATGCCTGGTATGTATAACCACACACACACACACACACACACACACACACACACACACACACACACACACACACACACACACACACACACACACACACACACACACACACACACACACACACACACACACACACACACACACACATATATGTACACACACACACACACACACACACACACACACACACACACACACACACACACACACACACACACACACACACACACACACATACTTACGTTTCATATCTATGGGCGTCTTCTGTAGCGTCCTTAACTCTTAATACAGCATTTAGTTTATTCCTAATCCACCGTGTCCGAACCGAAGACGACACTCTCCGCTGCCAGACGGCGCGACAATAATGTTCGGTAAAAACTGTCGTACTCACTATTCTATCGCCACCGTTATTATGTAAACATTTCGGAGAGAAGAGAAATGTCGCGCGTGAAATTCGCTCTTTTGGGAGATTTCATGTTTTTTTTTTTCTTTCTTTCTTTTTGTAGTGTCATGTTTTTGGTAATCATATTTAAGAAATTATTTTAGACATCTCTAAGGTTTCAAAATATTTATTATATTTAATGTGTATTTCATGAAACTGAGACTCTTACTAATGTTTTCATAATGCTAATTATCTTATGCCTTTTCTTTATCTCTGCGCTGCTTTGCCTCCTAATTGTTTAAAGTGTTCTGTAAATAATAATATAAACTTCTCAGATGCTTCTGAAGACCACCTTTTCCTTCCCTTCATCCCAGAAGTACCGACATGATTGAAGAAAAGGCATTAAAAACTTATTCATATCATTAATCAATTCTTTATGCCTCCCAATGTTCCCAGAATTGAAAACTAAGACTAGCATCATATTAAAGTAAGAAAGTTCGTACCTCTATTTTCTCTACACATTTCTTGAAGATTATGTTTCAAATATGATTTGTTTGGAATCTTAAGTTAATGGACTGTCTCTTTAAATTTCTATCAATTCTTGTGATGTTCCTGGTCTGTGATATAGTGATGGTTCTGCCCACTGATGTTGATGTGAAGATCCTGGTCTCGTATTTCTGGGCGTGTGGGAATGGGTTTTGCAAATCTAAAGGGTGGGAGCTGAGGTATGTTGCCTTGTTATCGCTGAACAATCTGTGGTATTTTGAAACATTTCTGTGCAATGTTCTCTTCACACATAACTGTTGCATGTTGTGTAGGGTCCAAATAAAAGTATACTTATTAATTTTGTAGT